CACAATTATTCTGTTAATAAAGAACCCCGGATGGAATAGAAATTGATTTAAATGAACCACTGATGGAATAGAAATTGATTTAAATGAACCACTGATGGAATAGAAATTGATTTAAATGAACCACTAATGGAATAGAAATCGATTTAAATGAACCACTAATGGAATAGAAATTGATTTAAATAAACCACTGATGGAATAGAAATTGATTTAAATGAACCACTGATGGAATAGAAATTGATTTAAATGAACCACTAATGGAATAGAAATCGATTTAAATGAACCACTAATGGAATAGAAATTGATTTAAATGAACCACTGATGGAATAGAAATTGATTTAAATGAACCACTAATGGAATAGAAATTGATTTAAATGAACCACTGATGGAATAGAAATTGATTTAAATGAACCACTGATGGAATAGAAATTGATTTAAATGAACCACTGATGGAATAGAAATTGATTTAAATGAACCTGATGGAATAGAAATTGATTTAAATGAACCACTGATGGAATAGAAATTGATTTAAATGAACCACTGATGGAATAGAAATTGATTTAAATGAACCTGATGGAATAGAAATTGATTTAAATGAACCACTGATGGAATAGAAATTGATTTAAATGAACCACTGATGGAATAGAAATTGATTTAAATGAACCACTGATGGAATAGAATTTGATTTAAATGAGATGATTTAGAATTCTCTTATTTTGAGATAGATATGAAATGAAACAGAAGACATATTTGTCTGCAAATTCAGTGTTTGAGTTAAATTGTGTACTGCACTGGTGAAAAAAACAAAATGGCTACCATGATATTTTAACCAAGCCACTAGGAATAATAATACTATCTGATAATCTGTATCTTTCAGCGTTTGGTGAGCATAATGATACAGCTACTAGTTCTTTACGATATAGTCCTACTCCGTGTTTAAAAGTTAAAAACATGTTTGACACTGCTGTGTAAGTATAAGATTTGTTTATATTACACGGATTGTAAAGAGGTTTTCTAAACTTTTGTCTTCTGTATCATTCCAGTCAAATGTCTGTTGTTCCTGTAATATTGATAA